CTTCTTCTTCCTCTCCTCCTCCTCCTCCTCCTCTTCTTTCTCCTCCTCCTCCTCCTCCTCCTCCTCCTCCTCCTCTTCTTCTTCCTCTCCTCCTCCTCCCCCTCCTCCTCTTCTTCCTATCCTCCTCCTCCTCTTCTTCCTCTCCTCCTCCTCCTCCTTCATCTCCTCCTCTTCGTCTTCTTCCCCTCCTCATCCTCCTGCTCCTCCACCTCCTCATCCTCTCCTCCTCCTCCTCCTCCTCCTCCTCCTCCTTCATCTCTTCATCCTCTCCTCCGCCTCCTGCTCCTTCACCTCTTCATCCTCTCCTCCTCCTCCTGCTCCTCCACCTCCTCATCCTCTCCAACTCCTCCTGCTCCGCTGCTTCCTCATCCTCTCCCATCGCCTCCTTCACCTCCTTCTCCTCTTCTTCCTGTCCTCCTTTTCTTCTTGTTCCTCTCCTCCTTTTTCTCTTTGTCCTCTTCTTTCTCTCGTCCTTTTATTCCCCTTCCGTCCTGCCTTTTTCCTCCTTGATCATCTTCCTCTCCTCCTTTTTCTCCTTCTCCTCCTTCTCCACCTCCTCCTCCCCCACCTTTTCCTCCCTCCTGTCCTCCTCCTCCGCTGTTTCGTTATTTGTCCACCGCCCTTGTGCAGGGCCTATGTTCATCTTCTCCCTCTATCATTCCAGTTTTAACAGAAGCCCTGAATGACAAGGGCACGTCTCACAGGTGCTCAGATGGAGGTTATCAGCTCTCTTGCTAGGAAGCTGGGTTGGATGTCTGACTGGACCTTAAAGCACTACCTCCGCCTGTGTTGGGAAATTAGGGAAAATGGGCTGTTCCCGAAGAGTTCCGAGGTTAGTCCCGACGACGGCTGTCAGTGATCAATCTCATCGGCGGCTGTCGTTTCATTTCGGCCTCGTTGGAGGCCCACCCGAGGCCTGCTATTGTCCCGGTCGGCAAAGGTACTAGTGATTTAAACCACCAGTACTTGGCCCATGCCTAGGCCGCCGCGCTTCCCCTCGTTTACGCACCGCGCCTTCAGGGCTATGGACCACAATGGCTGGAAGCGCCAGCCAAAAACGAAACAAAAAGTCGTGCTGGAGGTTTGTACGAACTTGGCGCACAGGGTGCTCCGAGGCCCGGCATCGATAGCTGGGCCAAGTACTGGTGGTCTAACGATCCAGATGATCTTGCGGGACTCTGCGGACACGCCTGGAGGGCGTGGACAAATATTTTGTTGTCGGTACGCGGACAAGGACAATTCGAACTTGAACCTTTGTCTGCACTCTGACTCAGTCGCTCTTGGAATCCTGTCGGAGGTTTGTCCCAACTAGCTACTGTCGCCCCCCCCCCAAAAAAAAAAAACTGCACCCTAGTTAATACGGATGTATAGAAGCTATCTTCCCTGTCCGTCACAGTCACGTAAGGGTGCAGCGTGTCCGGGGAGTATGGCAGCTTTTCAGCGTTTTCACAGTCTTTTCTGCACCTGTCTTGTGGCAACCTGCCCATTGACATCTTTTGTTTTTTTATGGCTGTGCATCCACGCATATGACCAGAGTGTTCTGGCATGTGTGTGGCCTGTCGCAAAGGGGTACCCGGGATGTCCCATATGTCCCTGCATGTTCCGACCAAGTTCCAAGCATGTCCCGTTCTCTTTCAGGGTGTCTTAAGCACGTTTCTAAGTACTAATTTTTCCTAACAGATTCCGTGCAAGTTCCGCACGAGTTCTACGCATGTTCTTTTGTGTGCCAGCATGATCCAAATACACTGCGCGGCTATCACTCGTGTCCACATTACAGAAGTGCACACTGCACAGCAAGCGCACAGCAATCACAGTGTGTTTTTGTGTGTTTTATTTATTATTCAATGTTCATCCAGGCTACCAGCCGGGTCGCCCGGGTCCCGGGTGGCCAGCCCGTGCAAGGACCAAGGCCGGTCCCAGCAAAAAAAAAA